CTCCGTTCCTTGACACCATTTCACTCTCATCTTTTCGACTCTCTGGTGTAGAGTGAGATCGAGTGATAACAGGACAATGGGCGGCGTGGGCGATTGTTCCGGCGGATATCCGCTGAAATCCTCATCCAGCACTAGTCCTAAATCCTGGTGTGAAAAGTAGCAATAGAGGATTCTCTCCTACTGGGTAAGGGACACAAATCATTCCACTCGAGGCAACATGTTCCGGCCTTTCTTTTCCCTTCCATGAACACACCCACCCGGATAGACTCGGCGTAGATCGATTAATTTGATATCATGGCTAGTCGTATAGATCGAATTCGAAACCCTTGGATGAATTGCTAGCTGAAGGACTAAGGCGGGGTAAGCTGCCGGGTGAGCTATGAGATATATCCACGGCTCCACGGATATGACGGCCCAGGTGGAAGACGAGCGCGTACCGTGTACGTATATATATAAAATATAGTTATCTCATGTCGAATATGTTATTGAATGGTTGTGTGTGTTTCAGATAGTTAGCTGCTTGTACCCAACTAACCCCAATCAAACACATCATCAGGCTATGAAACAGGCCAAACTTGGAAACCCGATGCAGGATTTTTCTTAGCAAAATAAGAACGTCTGGAATTTTCTTTTTGTCTTGGTGAGAGCGAATGGTTTTGTGAGACGATGGTTCGGCCCATAGCGGTTCTCGCCAGCCCAACGCTATTTCAGGCTTGTCAGTTAACTAGTTAGCTTGTTTCCTTGAGTTAGCAAGAGTTAGATATAGTTAGTCTGTCTGAAACTCGAGATTCGACATCCAGGCCTGGACTCGAGGCCAAAAGTTTTTTTTTTGCAAAGCTGACGGGGTGCACAGAGCATGCACTTGTTACTGCATTTCCTCACAAACTCCTGCATGAACATACATAGATACATGGTGCACATAGAGCAGTAACCATGGAAGTAGTTCAGGCCCCTTATTTAATGCCATCAGTTCTCCACGTGTTGTTTGGCCGATCGTATCTGTTAAGTTGAGCGTTGTTTGCCTGCCGGCGTGCTTGTTGGTTGCTGATAAAGCGCTTGCTGGGAGATTTAGCTTAACTATAAATTTTAGCCTCATGCTTGCTCTCATCTCCACCAAACCATCAACCACCACAGCCATGACAATTGACAGACGACGACTTCTCACCACCGCTGCTCCTCACAGAACGGGAAGAAAATCATCTGCTCTCAACTAACCGTTTCATTCGCAACCCCGACCCCGCTGCTATAACCTGGTGTTGATGTTGCTCTCTTCATCTCTGCCTCCTCCTCCCCCTTGCTCCCACCAGCGGACGCCAATCTCCCCAGCTGAGACAGTCACAGGGAAGACATAATTTTGCTAATCAAGTTAGCTGGGAATTGCTCACCCTGGCCTCAGGCTAACAAGCTACTGCGAGAGAGGGCAGACTCTCTGTCGTCTCCTCCGCCCCCTATCACCGGCTCGTAGTCCCCTTGCCGCGGGTTTCTGTCGCCCCAGCACTTCCTTTATTTGTTCCCCTTCAGCCGAGCCGTCGTGCCAACTATGGCATCTGCTCTGAGCAAACGCCAACAGGCGCGCAACGAGAGAGCTTTGCAAGAATTGATCAAGTCGGTTCCCGGCAATGACCGGTGCGTGGACTGCCAGGCCAGAAATCCAGGTACGTCCCCATGCCCCTCCCCCTCCCCCTCCCCGTATCTTTCTTGGGATGTTTTCATTTAAAATACTAATAGCTTAATTTTTTATATAGGATGGGCCAGCTGGAATGTGAGTCCCCTTCCTTTACCGCTTTTGACTTTGTACCAGTCATCATCGAGCCGCTCGGTTATCCCCCGTGTCCAGGGCTATAGTATAAATACTTGGGTCGTTTAGCTATGTCACAGAGCGAAGTCTAACGGATATTTGTTTTGACAGCTCGGCGTGTTTCTGTGTGTGCGCTGCGCTACATTACACCGCAAGTTAGGCACACATATATCGAAGGTTAAGTCGTTGAGTATGGATAGTTGGTCATCAGATCAGGTGGACGTGAGTGAAGCCCGACGATGGGGATGATGGTACCCACCCAGCTTCCATATGTTCGAATTGCTAATGTTGTTTTAAAAGAACATGAAACGGAATGGAAACGCTGCAGTCAACAAATTATACAACCCAAGAAACGTCAAACCCCCTATTCCTATTGACATAGACGAGGTGGACTCTGCGATGGAAAGATTTATAAGACAAAAATATGAATTGAAAGTATTGGAGGATGGACGGCCGAAGCCCCCCAGCAGACATGATCCGAGTTACACCGTAGCAAAAATTTCTGACGACTCTCCTCCGCCTCTGCCACCGAAAACGGGAAGACGCTTTGGTTTCGGCCTGCGATCTGCGTCTTACAACAATGCTGTTTCCAGCTCAGAAAAATCGTCTCCGCGCGAGGACTACGCATTTTCAGCGAATAGACAATCCAGAACCTTTGGCGCCAGCTTTGGGGATCCAGATGGGACCTTTGAGTCAAAACTAGAAGCACTGCGAGATATGGGGTTCCCAGACAACAAGCGTAATGCCACTATTCTGAAGAGCCTGAATGGGAACATGGATAAGACTATAGAGTCGTTGGTTAGACTGGGAGAAGGGACTGATCCTCGCCCGAGATCTCGGGCTCCAGTACCAAAGGTGACTCGTACGAGTTCTCAGTTGTCGGAACCCTCCAAAAGTCCGAGATCTACACTTTCGAATAATCCGTTTGATAATCTGGATTACGCCCCGTCGCGCGCCCCATCTAGTTATGCGGGAAGCCAGCCTGAGCCACAACAACCCTCCAGCATCAACGGAGCTAAATCCTACAATCCATTTGATTCTCTAGAAGCGCAGCCCGCCCTAACACAGTCCACTCAATCGCTAGACCAGTCGTTCCAGCAACTCCAAGTGTCACAGCCTCTATTTCCAAACATTACAGGTGGATATCCCAGCCAACAGGGGCAGATGCCATTCCAAAGATCCCAGCAATCTATGACACCTCCAGTCACTATGTCGTTGCAAAACGGGCTTACCGCATCGCCTACCTTTTTGAATGGAGGCTATAATCCTTTCTTCCAAAATGTACAGCCTGCGCAGCAAACCATGAACAATAACCCCTATGTAGACCAGCTTCAAGGCCTCTCACCAACCAACCCGTTTTTCAATATGTCTGGTCAAGCTCTAGGCTCTCAGCCGCAGACTCTCGCATTGGGCCGTGGTGCTGGGAATGTTAATCAAACTCAAATGCCGCAATTTCAACGCTACAACACCATGCCAATCCTTTCTTCTTCCTCTCCATTCTCCCAGCAGCAACAGCCGCAGCAGCAGCCACAACTGCAACAACCTCAACAGCAACAATATATACCGCAAGAACAACAGGCACCCTACAACCCATTCACCATGCCAAACGCTCCGTCATCTAACCCCTCCTACCAGCCTCAATTTAACCTCCAGCCCCCGCAACAAACCCTCATGCCCAAACAAACTGGCAAAATAGACAAATCCAGCATCCTCGCTTTATACAATTTCTCCCAACCCCCTCCAACGATCCCCGAACAGCCCTCACAGCAACTGACTCCCGATTTCACGCAAGCTCAACAGCCACAGCAACAGCAACAGCAGCCACAGCAAAACTCCGCCGCTACGTTCGACCTCCCCGCCTCCAACAGCCGAAACCCATACCATACCGCCCCTCCCAATGCCATGACCACGCCAGGCGCGCCGCTCATTTCAACGGTAATGGACTCCAAGTCGCAGATGGGAAGTGCGTCTGGAGGAGTGGGTGTAGTAGGGGTCGGACGAAGTGGTGCTGGTGGGGGAAATCCGTTCCCGCCAAGAGCGCATATGAGCCAAGCCAGTGTGGATATTGGCGGGATGCAGGATGGACGTCATAGCCCGGATGTATTTGCAAGTTTGAGTTCACGGTATGTGCAGTAATTGCATTTCTTTGGAGCCGGAAGATAGTGGGGCGGAGAAAGAATTGTGAGGAGCGGGGACAGGGGAGGAAAGAGGAGGAAAATGGAGACTACATTGATGTGGATGGGACAGGTTATGGTTGGTTGGAATTGCCGGGGCAGTTGGATTCCACGTAATTTTTTTTTTTTTTTTTTTGGTCGGGGTTGGATTGGATCGCCGGTTTGTTGACCGGGTATATATATTTTTCCCCTTTGCATTTTCAAAGTTTTATCCTCCTTCCTTCGCTTTTCCAAATTTCTTGACGAAAGGGTCTTGTGAGTGGTTTTTTTTTTTTTTTTTTTTTTTTTTTTTTTTTTTTTGGTGGAGCTTTTTTTGTGTTATCAATCTATTATTATGTTTTGTTTGTTGTTTGTTTCAGGAATGGGGATTTCATGCCCCATTCTTTCCTCACAACCATATCCACATTTTCTTCTTTTGATTTTCTTCCTTTGACTCGGCATTTTCATTGGGACAATCTCCATCACCTGGTGATGGAATTTTTTTTTTCCCTTTTTTTTCCCCTTTTTTCCCCTTTTTTCCCCCCTTTTTTTTCCCCTCTTTTTTTCCCCTTCTTCCACACGTCATTTCAGCTTGCCCTTGTTCTACATTATTCAGGCATCTGTTCTATTCTCATTCGTTTATTCAACCCACCCCTGTCCATTCCGGATTTAGGGACTTCTAACATACCCGTCATCCCATATTATTAGTACGATTGGTCACTTTTTTTAATATCCCATTCTTGCCCCTTCATTCTTTAGATGTCTCCTTTTCGAGATTCTTTTCTTTTCTTCCACAGCCGTTTTTATAATTATGTACTCTCCGCATGTTGTGCCATATTTTCCCTGCATATTACACGCATTACTTGTCGTATTTCATAGGTTATGATTATGATTCCCCTGCAGGTATTATCTACTCGCGCTCAGGTAGAGTTTTCATATATTATCTATATAAACAAGAATGAAGATGAGAAGGTTTAGCACTGCATTTACATATAAAAGTATTCAGTTATATTTAGTTTTAATAATTTTCGCTTACTAACTCTAATATTTTTTATTTTATTTTTTCTATATTTTTTTAATAAAAAATTAATCATGTTTCTTTAATATAATATTAATATCAAGGGGAGTGTTGAAAAGGAAATATATAATTAGAACGATATAGTTAATTTAACTGAACCAGATATATTCCCAGATGCAAAAATATCGTTTTGAACAGTGCGGCAACTAGAGAAAGAAAAAATGAACTTTAAGTGAAATAAGATACATGAATAATAAATAACAATAATAAATAAATAGAAAAACCCAAAAATGCATCAACTCTCTCAGGCAAATGAAGGTACAAAAAAAAAAAAGGGTATTTATTTATCCTCAGCATGTACCCAGTCCCAACCCGCCTTAAAAGGGAGAAATAAATGAGGAAGAAGAGAAAAGAGAAAGGGGAGAAAAAATCTGCCCAAAGTTCAAGACCACAACATCCTCTCTGACCTCTCCCTCGACTTTGACTTCTTCACCAACCCATCCCAATCCGGCACCCACGGCGATTCAGTCATCCACTCCGGCCACTTCGTCTGCCTCCTCCGCCCTCTCCATGACCACGGCCACGACCACGTCAGCTGCCACCGCCTCGTATTCCGCTGCAGACCTGACAACGAAGGCCACGACCAGGACCAGGAAACATGGTACCATTTCCTAGATCTTGACGGGGCGTTAGAAAACGGCCATGTGGATGGGAAAAAGGAAGATGGCGACGGCGATGACGACGGCGATGACGATCGCAAAGGGGGCCACGACCAAGAGGTGGGCAACAGAGAATCCAAACCCCACCGTCCCCTCATCCCCGACCTCGTCCCGAACCACAACGATCCCTTCGCCGCCTCCTTCCGGAATCCATCAATGATCTTATCAAACTGCTTCTCTCGTTCCTCCATACTCCGCTGCCAGCTGGCCTGGTTCTGCAGACGCGTATGCTCGCGCCATTCCCGCTGGATGTCCCGGTCCAGACACCAGACGACGATGTCGCCTTTGCGTCGCCAGTCGTCGTGCCACGCTGTGTTCCAGGTGCGGTAGCATTCGGCGTATGGGGAACTACGGAGCGCAGTGTGGAGGGTTGGTTCGAGTTGGGCGAAGAACACGAGGTAGTCGGGCCACGGGTGGTGGGGGTTTTTAGAGTCTAGAGGTGGGTTGGATGTTGGGTGGTGGTGAATAAGTGGATTTTTGTTGAGTTGGTATGAGGGTTTTGAGGGGAAGTCGCGTAATCCGCCCTTCATGTTCTTTTGGAGGAAGGTGGATGGGTCTTCGTAGAATTGGTCTGCTTCGTCTAGGTAGGTAGATTTTTCCCTTGCGTTGAGGTTTACGGGGGGTTCGCAGGAGAGAGCCCATGCTTGGATGCCTGGGAAGACGAGATGGGAGCGCCAGGGTGTGCTATGACAGGGCATAAGGAAGCCAATTGTCATATATGTGGGTATCAGAGACGAAGAAAACGAGGATGAAGAAACGCTTGCATGGGAACCCTGCTTGTTTGACACTTGTTCTAGATAGTGCCTAACATATTGGTTGCGGAAATAGTCCATGATATTGAGGATGCCTGATGCATGAGAGAGAGTTGTATAGTAGGCGATATAAACGTTCACGAGAACGAGAAATATCAGAGAGAGACGTCGGGGCCTATTCGACGGGGAGCCGGAGGAGATGGCGGGCAGGAAGAACTTCACAAGGGGCAAAGAGGAAATGATTATAAGGGAAGGAAGAAGTGGGTAGATGAAACGGACTTCCTTATGAGATATCAATGAAAGGACAGCTGGCATGAATGTGCAAACAGCTGCAAGCTGACGCCTAATCGAATTCTGTGGGACAGTGAGGCCTTTCTGGTTGGTGAATAAAGCCTGGAAAATTCCGACCAAGGAGAAGGGCAGAGTAGTCGTGAGGAGGAGCGGGTAGCCTTGAGAGAGGTAGTAGTGCCAGTCATTGCGTCCATAAAATATGGCGAGTGATTGAGCGATGTTGAAGTAGAGAAATTTAAAGGGTGGAAATGTCCAGGAACCGTAGTACGCCCGGTCCAGAAGCGTTGATATACCGAGCACAACGGATCTAATGAATTATCAGCTTGGATTTTCCTAGCAATAGAAAATTTAAATCAACGTACCCGGAGAATACAACTTCGTAAATAAACGTCAGAAATTCCTTCATGGTAGGTCTAATGAAGGAAAAGCTCCGTGTTTGACGGGATGATGTTGGAGTCTTAAACATCGCGAAGGTTGCTACACAGATCCATACCAGGAAATTTGTTGGGCGAAGAATGCAAGCAAAAGCTGCAAGAAGTAGACATAACCGCAAGCTATACTACGGTCAGACTTGAACAAACGCAAATTTGTCGGGCATACCTGGGTTTATACCGTTGCGTGACTGAGTTGTCTCTTAAGCTTCCATTTCCAGAACCACTCCTTTGCGGGGAAGATGATTCCGACGGCCATTCCCATGGCCATAAATACAATGCGACGATCGTGAGGCTTGTCTCAAGACAATTCGATAATGTCCGTGTCGAACAAAACCACTGCCAGGGACTTAGGATAGTCAATGCGAGCTACAGGGCAGAGCAATGAGCGTTTGATGTTCAATATTCAGGCATATGTTGTTGCAGTTGGACCACCTACAGCACCCCAGGCTTCATAGCTGTCATTTCCGTAAACCTTCCCGGCCAGTTTCCATGTATAAAAATCCGCAACAGCGGCGAAAAGAGCCTGCACGAGTTTCGGGGCTGCAAGGAGTAAGTTTGCGCGATGGAGAGGGGATATCGACAGATATTCAGATATGAGATTAGATATATAATAAACCGCGGCGAAGATGTACGGATGTATCGAAGACCGCAAATGATGCCTCCATTCCTAGCGCACGGGTGTTAGCTCCCAAAACAACAAATACCACCCTGCTTGATATATCCGAAGCGTACGTACCCAAGTTATCCAAGCACCACTGTCCTCGCCAAACGCAATCTGCCACGCCGGTTCCAGCGACTGGAAGAATTCGTCTGGTTGGAAGAAGGTCCTGACGCAAAGAGCGTTCAACGCCCGGAACGCGATCAGAAAGAGGAGGATATTCTGCGGGGTGCTCGAGTCCATCCGCCTGCTGGATGCTCGTGCCCTGGACTTAGGGGTCTTGGAACCAGAGTCATGTTCGTTATCGGTTGCGGAGAGCAGAACCTTTCGGGACCGCGTCGACGTCGAAGGCATGGTCTTCCTTCCCCTGTCACCATATCGGGACGACCCTGTCCAAGGTCTCTGCGCGCGAAACGTGGAGTCCGGCAGGATGAAGCCAATGGTCGCGCTGAAACAGACGTCTTTACGATAAAGGAACGTCGCAGGGGGGATATCTTGAATAATTCGACCGATACGGGTTGGTATGCGTCGTCCGCCTGTTGTTTTGTACAGAGCGAGCAGGAGTGAATTGGTTGCGGATCAACTTCGTCTTTTTAACTTCCTTAGGGCGCCTCCAAGTATCGCGCTACTGCAATCCCCGTGCAGAGTGACATCTTGTGTGTGGGGGATGGGATATTGGCGCTCGTCCGAGCAAGATCACAAAGGGTTATCGTCGGTTCATCGCTCTCAACCTTTGCCCGCTGTGGTTTGCTCCCCGCCGCAGCTTTTGCCGCCGCATATTTATAAACTCCGATTGATTCCTCTCGCCGAAGACCATTCATTCATTAACTAACTACCTTAACACATGCTTCTCATAGGATAACTGCATCTGTATTTATAGGCCCCTTCTCAACGCTGTACTAACTGGATATTTGTTGTTCTTTCGAGCTTGACTCTTTAGCCCTGGTATTTAAACTAGTTACGTCACCTAGTTATAACTATCATCCAAAACAAACTGCCCACGCAATACCACCGATAAAACCATCTCCGCTGTTGTACAGCCACCATGTCTCCAATCGCCACCGAGAATGCTGTTGCAGGCTCTGCTCAACCTGCAAAGACAAGCCAGAAGTCCACCTCCGCACCAGCTGCGCCATTCGACCGTTCCCGGTTCCATGCCTCCTCGACTACCGCGGCAATCGATGCAGAGCATCAATATGCTGCCCATAACTACCACCCGCTGCCTATCGTCTTCGCCCGCGCCGCCGGTACTACCGTCTGGGATCCCGAGGGACGCTCCTATCTCGATTTCCTCTCCGCCTACTCCGCCGTTAACCAGGGCCACTGCCACCCGGAGTTGGTCAAGGTGTTGGTTGACCAGGCTTCTACCCTGACCCTGAGTTCCCGTGCTTTCTACAATGATGTATTCCCCAAGTTTGCGGAATTTGTGACCAAGTTCTTCGGGTTCGACATGGTCCTACCCATGAACACGGGTGCTGAGGCTGTGGAGACTGGTATCAAGATTGCCCGGAAATGGGGCTACAAAACCAAAGGCATTCCTCACAACGAGGCCATTGTATTGAGCGTGGAGAACAACTTCCATGGACGCACTGTCAGTGAACTAAAATACCCAAGGACGCTTCTTGCTGTCACCAATCCTATGTCCCATAATCTATGTATACTTTTCCTTTTTAACTAACAAGAGGAGGATTACAGTTTGCGGCAATATCAATGTCATCTGACCCAGAATCAAGGGATAACTATGGTCCTTACTTGCCACTCATCGGCAGCAAGATCCCAGGCACAAATAAACCCATCCCATTCAACGACAAAGCCGCGCTGCGTGAGGCATTCGAGAAAGCAGGGCCAAATATTGCCGCGTTCCTAGTCGAGCCGATCCAGGGTGAAGCTGGCGTCGTCGTGCCGGACGACGACTACCTCAAGGAAGCCAGAGCTCTCTGCGACAAGCACCGTGCCCTCCTCATCTGTGACGAGATCCAGACCGGCATCGCCCGAACCGGTAAGCTACTCTGCCATGAGTGGAGTGGTATCAGACCAGACCTCGTCCTCCTTGGCAAAGCGATATCCGGCGGCATGTACCCCGTGTCCTGTGTCTTGGGCAACAAGGAAGTCATGCTTACAATCGAGCCGGGTACGCACGGCTCGACATATGGTGGCAATCCACTGGGGTGCGCCATCGCCATTCGCGCATTAGAACTCATCCGAGACGAGAGGATGGCCGAACGGGCGGAGAAGCTTGGCCATCAATTCCGTGCTGGGATGGCTGCTATAGATAGTCCCATGATTCAGACAGTTAGGGGTAAAGGGCTGTTGAATGCCGCCGTCATCGACGAGTCTAAGACTGGCGGGCACACTGCGTGGGATCTTTGCATGTTGATGAAGGAAAAGGGATTATTGGTAAGCCTTTTGATTTCTTTTCTATTTTTTCGACCTTCTATTCCCCACACCTATTTCCCTACCATTCTCCACATGGTCATTTTTGTACCCTAACTCTTTTCGCCTCTGTTTTTCCGTAGGCGAAACCAACACACCAAAACATCATCCGCTTCGCACCACCACTGGTCATTACGGAAGAGGAGCTCAAAAAGGCACTGAGCATCATCGAGCAATCCGTCAAGGAGCTGCCAACCATGAAGAGTGCGTAAGTTCGACCCTGCAAAACTCGCCACTCTCGATATCCCCCAATTGAAACCAGAAAAGAAAAATAACGATAAGGAAATTGCAATGAATGTACTGTACAAAACGGCCCCTGCAGAAGCTGTTTTCACGCAAGTAACGTTTTACGAATAACCACTTGATGAGATTCCCTTCTGTCACCCCCTTTTTCTCCCCCTTTTCTCCCCCTCCCCCCCTCAATTTTGCCTACAAGTTTATCAAGCGTTACGACACACTCTACTCTAGCATATATGTGTATATGGAGACACCCCCCTTTGCATTTTAATGAAAATAAAAAGTGGCAAATGTTTCCTTTTCTCCTTCTTGAGGCGGTCCTCTTGCTTTAAACCGGCATTTGGTGGGCGGGTTTGCGCGGTGGTTTATGTTTGTAGCAATTGCATCGTGGGACAGCGGTAACTTGTGTGTATGAGATTACGGCTTTTCTTATCTCCTGTTATTTCGCTGCAAAGCAACTTTTTCTCTCCCTTGGTATATGGGTGACTGCGGTGGTGGTATGCGCCTTGCAGATTATTATTAGGTATTTTATTATTGTACGGTTTTATTATATTTCGAAGGCTTTGCGTGAGCATATGGGACCATCTATTTGTTTTGTTGTAACAACATAGGTTAATACCCAGGCTCCATGGCAGCATCAATGGGTTTTTCGTGGTTTTTTCAGGTTTTAGCACTCGATAAAGATTATTTAGGGAAATGCAATGAAACCGAGAAAACGAAAAGAGTCGGAATTAGTTTTTGTAGGCACTGCTTTACCTTCATTTTCTGTCAACAAATGTTGAGATATGTAAACCACTATAATAGATATAAGTATGTATAGTACCCACCCACCCAGGGTATCAAAAAACGACAGAGTAGGTAGAGCCGACAAAAAGCTTCGCACTTGATCGATCCGGATTGGGCTATATACCATTGGACTCTCTCCAGTACCAGCAAAGCACCACCTCCTCTGCTCGACAATCCTCCTAGCCAGCCTCCCATTCTTAATTGTTATCGTAGGAGAGTTAGCTAGATAATGGAATGGACCATCTAGATCCTATACAATCCACCTCCCTCCTCTTGCCCCCTCTCCACTACCCTCTCGCTTCTAACCAACCGTCCATTTGTTTGTTCAATATGCATATCAAAAATATTCCCTTCCCGGCATACGAACTTCCAGCGCGAAAGGTGCATGTACGGGGGGTTATTACATATTCGCGACTTTATCCTCACACGTCTTGGAATCGCGATTTATATCTTGAACCTAGTCTTTGACTGTGAGCAGTTCACTTGGTATAGTTTCATATGCCTTGTAGCAAGGCGGAGTGGGATTGATACAAACAGAAAAGGCCTGCAAAAAGGGCTGAAAGTAACGTAAAATAGCGGGAGCGAACTGTAGGTTTTTGTCTTTTGGAGTGGTAGTCTAGTAGAGCTACTTGCTTGGAGCCTTGAGGAAATCATACCACAAGTAAGGGGTTAGAATGTTGAGGGGCAGCTTATTGCTTGCGTTTGTGTGGTGACAAGGTGGTGGAAAGCATTTGAGTTCCGAATGGTTTTACCATATCTAGTAAGCCATTTATAGATAGGCATCGGCCAGACGCATAACAAACGAGAGGTTTGAATTGTGAAAATCTGAGCTTGTCAAGATTAGGTTCCGCAAGGGGCCAACTCAGTTGATTTGCTTTGTTTTCATATTTGTACATGTATGTTCGTATAGCCTGGATAATGAATGGCCTTTGGTTGTAGGTTGTGTAACAAGGATATTCATATAAATGTGGTACCATAGTCGACAAATACCTCCCGCATGTCGATTTGTTTCATGCTTTACCTAGATGTGGTTCCCTTAAAAGGTAAAATCAGGCCCATCAAGGATGAAAAGCGAATGAATTTGGTGCTTGCACTCTGAATTTCAACCCTCGCAGTGACAGCCCTAGATGGCGTCCCATGGTAGTATAACTCTCGTGGTATCACACTCTCCTTATGTAGCGAAAACGCAACTTTTAAATATGCGTCCCAACAAACGAAGGGATGTTATGGCTTTAGCCTGGCCAAGGTAAAGCTCTCCCTATAAGACTCGCGGACGATGTTGAACGGGTCTGGCTTTTTTCGATATGAATAGGTCTTGTACTCTCTTATGGGATCTTTTTAAAAAAGAGTTGTAGCTGGGAAGGGAAGCGGTGTACGGAGTAGTAAGTAACCAGTTGTCCGAGAAGCAAAGCAAAACTTGAGCAGTCAGAAGCTGAAAATGTGGTTTCTTTAGGTTATTACTCGCGCGGATAATATATCTTACCGCGCCTATTTTTGGCGCCCGCTTAGTTCCGTCCAACCGCCTCCTTCCAATAGCAATCGTATTCTTTGTCTCCCTTCTCCCTCCCCAGTATTAAACTAAACTTAACATTGTTTTATCTCTGTTGTCCCAATGATAGAGGTATATTCTCGTGCTGGCTGTTTGCTGGCTCTTACAATACTTTATCTGTGTAGTTTTGAAATATCAAAGGGAAAACTCTTTGCGCGTTTTGACAAAGGTTCTGGATCGTCTACACCATGAAGCTCAGAGAGGCCGAGCCAAAAATGCACTATGATTGCAACTCAAGTCAAGGCGCCAGTGGTTTACCATGGCACACTCTGATGGCGCACGATTCGGAGCAAAGGAAAGGGATAATGTCACCGCTTACTCCCACGCAGGTTGGTCGGAAGTTGCCGTGAATTGTTTGCTCTTTCGGCTGAGTCTTGAAAACGACCAAAACGGGATGGACCAACAACCTCTTCTACCTACTAGTTTCACCGCACCTTTCTACACCAATGAAATCTTTAACAACTACGCATAACGATGGCTATGCTTTTTTCACATTCACATAAGGGGAGCGGGATCTTTCCATAGCAGAATGGAAAGTAGCCATAATTCCTGGCTCACAATATAGCGTACTATCCGAGTAGTACTCGGAAAGGTTTTCTATCGAGAAGCTTACCTGACAATATTTAGCCGCCATTACTGGATTTCGAGATGTCAACTGATGCCAAAATCTCATCTGAAAGGGAAACCAAGTTACCAGCAGAAGCGAATGAAAGGAGAAATGCGAGTTGTGAACGTGAGCTTAACCTAACAACACAGGAGCCCCCGGACATCAATCCGAAACCCGAATCCCAATCCGAACCTGGTCGTATACTAGATTCTCAGATTGCAGAGGAGCCTCGGACGCTCCGCAATTCGATTCATACCTGAGTAGTTCCTGTTTTAACCGACCTTTTGGCGCAAGAGGATGATACTGTTAGCAAGCGATCCTACCCCTGCTTAAAACCTTTCTGCTCTCTGTCGTGTGGGGTTTGCTGAAATCGCTGATCTTTGCGGACATACACTCGTCGTTCTTAGAAGAAACGGATAACTCTATACGAAATAGATACGAAAATAGATGCTAGCATATTTCGGTACGTCTGCTGGGCCAGGACACCTTTGCAAAAGACGAAGATTACTTCAAAGAATATATTTTTGGACGAGCGATTGAATTGCGCACCTTGATGCGGTGTCCGCCCGGCCGATATCGAGTTGCCCCTCCGCATGCCACGCTAAGGTTAATAGATGGCAGCCCATGGTCAGTCAAGACATAACATAAGGGGATCACGGAGGTTAGCAGATAGGCGATCAAAAACGCCAGTGTTGTATCACACTGGTTGTCCCTTGGACTGAACTATATATGTATTCTTTTTCAACATTGCGAATCCGACTACGTCGAGGCCCCCTAGGTTAGCGATGACAGAGAATCTAGTTATAGCGATGAGGGGAACTTTCGGGGGTCTAGAGGAGGATGACTCCGGGTTGTGTTATGATGGAGTCACCGAGCCTGAAAACGACGGGCCTTTGCAGCCTTGCGACAGCGGATTACCCTGAACCTAGCAACAACGGTGCTAGCGAATATAGCAATGAGTAGGCCTGCAACCCTATATACATACGATCAAGATAGCGAAACTGTCGATGACATCCACAAAGTAAGCTCGACTGGTGAAGGGTGAGTAGGGTAGTCTTCATTTAGGGTGTTGTTCGGTTGTTGCACGTTTAACCTAATGTAATCTTGTATAAAAGACCCACCACCACTTACTTGACCTTACACACACCCTATTCAACATTGTCTGCATGAAAAAAGGTCTTGCATTCAGTTCTGTCATCCTCATAACCCTTTTTTGTTCCTCCACTTACATGGTATTAAACGTCAACAGTGGAATTAGACTGGATAATGAGGTTGAGGGGTTGTTGTAACTGTAATAAGCAAGGTTAGAAGTGTGTAAGATTGTGTAAGATTGTGTATGCTGCCAGATCAATTGACATTGGTAGTTATATATTTATCTTATGGAAAGTTGTAGTAGTGGGGCGGGCTGGATTCCATCTTCTTCATCTATTATTATTATTGGTGGCGCAGGCACTGTGGCGGCAGGGCAATGCAGATGATTGTAAGGTGAGAGAAGAATTTGAAGACTGAACTTAGCATTTTGCACATCTCTATCATACAAAAAAAAAGTAAAATCACTATGATTTTTCGGGTGGCAATCAAGGTTTGAAAAAAATCGACACTGGCAGTTACATAGACGATGGCGATGTCTTCATGGGAAACAGGATTGACGATAGAAACGGCATCATCCGAATCTAGGGAATAAAACGGTTTATCTGTTGCATGACGTAGTTAGATTACTCTAAAAAAAAAGAAAAAAAGAAAAAAAGAAAAAAAGAAAAATTGTGGAAATGTCACCTTCCAACATTTCATAGGTGGAACGTCATGTAGTTCAAAATCGTCTACTATTATGTAGATCTTCATGACGCTTTGCAAGTTGTTTGTATGTGTTAAAAGGACACATACATATCTATTTCCGGGCCATCATTAGTCCCCAAAGCAAGACCATTTGCATTATTATTATTATTAATATTGTAAATTTGTATGTAATTCAGCATCATTGTGGAAATGTGCCGCTGACAAATGCGCCGGACGCTGTGACAAATAATCCCACCGAATCGGAACATTTCTCGCCGACTTTTGGATCAGCTCCAGCCTGGGATCCCCATGGAATGGGATGAATGAGATAGAAACATGTTTGGGATGAACAGCTAAACGCTGGTGATTCCTGACTCTTTGACTCTTTTAACTCTTTTAACTCTTAATATACTTTACACTGCGTAGTCTTGAGGTTCACTGAGGTTGGTTGTTGTGGCCAAAACTAGAAGCTAGTTTTTGGCGCGCCTTGACATGATTGGTGCCCAGGTACGGTACGGAGTAGTTAACTAGTTACCCAGCAGCAAAGTTGGACCAATGGCAAAAAAATGCCACGCGAGGGTTGCCGAGGCCATGCGCCAGACGCCAGACGACGGATTAACTAACTACGTAAACGCCCAGAAAATGCCCTCATCCCCTTCCCCGTTTAACCGCAAAACTAAAAAACTAAATTTGGCATTGATATGACTGGGAAAGGAAAAGCATCTTAAAGCAAGCGGGATGTGCCAGGTGGCTTGCCCTGCTGCTAGGTTCTGCTTGGTATGTATGTCCTCAGCGTACTGTCCAATGTCCATGTACATGTACATACAGACATACAGACATACAGACATACAGACATACAGACATACAGACATACAGACATACATACATACATACATACATGTGCATATACCTAGGCATCCCGTCGGCCCGGCTCTTTGATGTATGTTATCCCGGTTATAAGCACTAACTAGTGCAGCATAAATGGGGACAAAAAGGCAAAACTCAGCCGGAACCGAGCCAGAATAACTTGGTTCCAAGTAACCCTAGACGTTTTGCCCTTGCCCTGGTATTTGCTCATAAGCTGGACGGAGTCGAATCCATCCAAATAGTGGCAGTTGGTAATGACTTTTTTTTGACGATCGATACTCTTGGACATAAAGAGACCCTATATTTCTTATTATTCTTTACGTTTCTATCCTGCCATTTTTTTTTTTAATTTTTTATCGACACTTTTTCTCTATGGTTCATATGCAAGCGAGTACAGGTCCTTTGTCTTTTTTTGCCTCTTTTTTGTTTGAAAGCCCACGATGGTAGCCGGCGAAGAAGAAAAAACGAACAATGAGATGGCGGCATGGGATAAACCTACTCCGCCCATACATTCGGCAGGCCCAGCTGCTGCGCAACAGGGGAATTCCGATGCCACTCTCGATCTTCAGCAAAGCAAAGAGCTAGACCTATCGCCCAGCTCTTCATGCTCTGAAGGCAGCAAACTTTCAGAGCACGGCCAAGCTGCCGAATCGGCCAAGCCGCAGCGGACCTGGTACCAGCAGCTAAATCCATTCCGATGGCGCCAGATCCCCCCCATACCTACCGAAAGGACTATATCCAAAGAGCATGGAGCTGGATATCTGAGCTTGATAACATTTCAATGGATGTCTTCGTTGATGACGGCAAGTACTTCTTCCCCTTTTGTTAAAAATATATAGTGAAGAAACTCAAAAACCAAAAGTTTCGTGCTCGTGGATATATCATCTATTGGGCGTTTGAAGAATCTCCTCCGCTTACATTTTTCTTAGACCGGATACCTGCGCCCGCTGGAGGTCCAAGATATTTGGTTGGTGAATCCGGATAGGTCATTAGACGTTCTTGTAGACAAGCTTGAACGGGCATTCCAGGATCACGTCGACCGTGGCGATCGCTATCCGCTATTATGGGCGATATACGAAATGTCCAAATTTGAATTTTGGTTGGGCGGTATCTGTGCATTATCTTCAAGTCTTCTCCAAGTTATGACGCCCTTCGTCTCACGGTATCTTATCCAATTTGCCGCGGATGCTTATGTTGCGAGGCAGACCGGCGAGCGCGCCCCAGACATTGGACATGGTATTGGAATCGTTATAGGGATATGTTGCATGCAAGTCTCGCAAAGCCTTGGTACAGCCCAGTTCTTCTATCGAGGGATGATGGTCGGAGCCCAAAGCCGTGCTGCGCTTATCAATATGATATTCTCCAAGGCCTTGAAGCTTTCCGGTCGTGCGAAAGCGGGTGGTAAAGCCACCACCAAAGACTCAGAAAATAAGGACACACAGAGTACATCCGACGATTTGGAATCTCTTCGAGAAGCCCGAGATGGCATTCTTAAAGGAAAATTCCAGAAGAAACCTGGGAAGTCTAAAGGTCCCAAAGCAGGGCCGGACGCTGCTGCGGGCGTTGCCGGTGATGGCACAGGGTGGAACAACGGCAGGATCGTCACTCTAATGAGCGTCGATACAGATCGCATTGATAGAGCGCTTGGGCTGTTCCACCTACTCTGGACATCTCCCATATTGATCATAGTCGCTTTGATCGTCCTCATAATTAACATCGGCTACAGTGCCCTTTCTGGATATGCGCTGTTAGTTCTCGGGGTACCATTCCTCACTTACTCTATACGTTCCCTTATTAGGAGACGAAAAAAGATAAACAAAATGACAGATCAGCGCGTCTCTCTCACGCAGGAAATCCTGATGGCCGTCAGATTTGTCAAGTTTTTCGGCTGGGAGAGTAGCTTTCTGAACCGGTTAAAGGACATTCGGCAACGCGAAATTTCCGCAATTCAAGTCGTCCTATCCATACGAAATGCGATTCTATGTATATCAATGGCGCTTCCCGTGTTCGCTTCAATGTTGGCTTTTATAACCTACTCGCTATCGAACCACGCATTGTCTCCTGCCCCGGTATTCTCGTCACTCGCACTATTCAATGCGCTCCGCATGCCGTTGAACATGCTGCCTCTTGTGATCGGACAGGTAACTGATGCATGGACGGCCTTGGGACGAATTCAAGAGTTCCTTCTAGCTGAAGAACAACAAGAAGACATAAAACAAGATCCCTCCTTAGCTCCTGCTATTAAGGTTGAGGATGTATCATTTACCTGGGAGCGTTTAGCTACCGACTTAGAAAAGGAACCCGACAAGAAATCCGACAAAAAAGCAGGTAAAAAAGCGGAATTGGACGGATCTACGCATCATCTTTCAATCGAACCCTTCGAACTCAAAGACTTCACCTTTGAGTTTGGTCGTAATGAACTTATTGCGGTCATTGGAGCAGTTGGATGCGGTAAAAGCTCGCTTTTGTCAGCCTTGGCTGGAGATATGCGTCTGACAAAGGGCAAGGTGACCATGAACGCTTCACGCGCCTTTTGTCCTCAGTACGCTTGGATTCAGAATGCGACCGTGAAGGAGAACATCCTCTTTGGTAAAGAGTATGACGACGTGTGGTATAATAAAGTTGTAGATGCTTGCGCCTTAAGGACTGATTTCGACATGCTCCCAGCCTCTGATGCGACGGAAATTGGTGAACGAGGAATTACTGTTTCCGGGGGACAGAAGCAGAGACTCAATATCGCTCGAGCTATCTATTTTGATGCGGATCTTATACTCATGGACGACCCATTATCAGCTGTTGATGCCCATGTTGGGCGCCATATCATGGATAACGCCATTTGCGGATTGCTCAAAGATAAATGCCGAGTCCTTGCAACCCACCAACTGCACGTCCTCAGCCGATGCGACCGCATTATATTGATGGATGACGGCCGGATATCATCCATCGATACTTTCGACAACCTCATGCGTGACAATGAAGTGTTCCGTCAGTTATTGGCGACCACCTCCCAGGAGGAGGATACTTCAAAGACTGAAAGAAGCGACGAGGAAGATGAGATCGAGGTTGAGAGTGTGGAAATGCCGAAAAAGAAAGCCAAAGCATCGAAACCGGGGCCCGCTCTTATGCAGCAGGAAGAGCGAGCCGTTAGTTCAGTTAGCTGGGGAGTTTGGCGAGCATATATTTCGTCGTTTGGCATGGTCATAAACGGTCCGTTGATCATTTTGTCGCTGATTTTGTCCAGCGGAGCAAATATAGTGACAAGTCTGTGGCTTTCATACTGGACCTCGGACCAGTTCCGCCTGGAAACCGGCCAGTACATTGGTGTATACGCAGGACTAGCTGGTGTTCAGGTGTTTCTCACATTTGCATTCTCTACAATTCTGTCAGTGAGCGGAACGAATGCCAGCAGGTCGATGTTTCATAAAGCGATGACGCGGGTTTTGAGAGCTCCAATGGCTTTTTTCGATACCACCCCGATGGGCCGTATTGTTAACCGATTTTCGAAGGACGTTCACACTATGGACAACGAGTTGACCGACGCAATGCGGATTTACTACATTACCCTTGCCCTAATTATTTCCATTATGATTTTGATTATTGTGTTCTTTCACTATGTAAGCATGCCGGAATATTTGAATTAGTTTATTTTGGAAAGGAGCTGACAGGTATATTCATTCTACAGTTTGCAGTTGCTCTTGGCCCTCTTTTCATTTTATTCCTGGTAGCGACAAATTATTATCGAGCATCAGCGCGAGAAATGAAGCGTCATGAAGCAGTGCTCCGTTCCACTGTTTTTGCCCAGTTTAGCGAGGCTATATCGGGGACATCATCAATTCGAGCTTACGGCGTGCAGGCGCACTTCCTCCGTCGCCTCCGTGCTGCACTCGATAATATGGACAGCGCATATTTTCTGACCTTCGCGAACCAAAGATGGCTAAGCGTCAGATTAGATGCTATTGGCATACTCCTGGTTTTTGTCACAGGTATATTAGTGGTCACTTCAAGATTCAATGTCTCGCCTAGTATATCGGGATTGGTGTTGTCCTATATCCTCGCCATATCGCAGATGTTGCAGTTCACCATTCGCTGTCTAGCTGATGTCGAAAATAGCATGAATGCCACTGAGCGCGTTCATCACTATGGAACAGAGCTAGATGAGGAAGCACCACTCCATCTTATCGAATTAGACAGCCAATGGCCGCAAACAGGCAGCATTTCATTTTCTAACGTGCAGATGCGATATCGTGAAGGCCTTCCACTGGTCCTGCAGGGACTGAACATGGATATCCGAGGCGGCGAGCGTATCGGGATTGTCGGACGAACTGGGGCCGGCAAATCAAGTATCATGTCTGCTCTGTTCCGAATAACAGAGCTCTCTGGCGGGAGCATCAAAATTGACGGCATAGATATATCCACTGTCGGCTTACACGACCTGCGATCTAGACTCGCCATCATCCCCCAGGACCCTGCTTTATTCCACGGCACTATCCGATCGAATCTTGATCCCTTTAACGAGCACAGCGATTTGGAATTATGGTCTGCACTTAGGAAAGCCGACCTGGTTGGCCAAGAAACACCCTCAGACTCTTCAGTCGACCAAACCAGCTCCTCGCCGACGGCCAAGCAGCCCCAACAGCGCATCAACCTGGACACCGTGGTCGAAGAAGAAGGATTAAACTTCTCTCTCGGCCAGCGGCAGCTCATGGCACTGGCGCGCGCCCTCGTTCGCGATTCGCGCATTATCGTCTGTGACGAGGCAACCTCCTCTGTCGATTTTGAAACGGATCGTAAAATCCAGAAAACCATGGCGCAGGGTTTCAAGGGTAAGACGTTGCTCTGTATCGCGCATCGGTTGCGGACAATCATCAACTATGACCGCATCTGTGTGATGGATCAGGGGCGGATTGCTGAAATGGATGAGCCGCTGAAGCTGTGGGAGAAACCAGGGGGAATATTTCGGGGCATGTGTGATCGGAGCGGGATTTCGAGGGAGGACTTTTTGGTTGGGTTTGACGATTAATTTCGAGGATAAGCGTCTTGCATGTATATATATATATCTCTCTATTGTTTTTCTCAAGGTAAAAACCAATTTCTTCCATGGTTCAAGACCAAAAAATTTGGTAAATAGTTGGCGTTTTGCTGGAGTAGATACCATTTGACTAAAGAGATAATAAGTTAATCAATGCGGAATAGAATTAAGCAATCCAGGGATAGGAAAGCTATCAGCAACAAGCAGAAATAGAAGATCAGTTCATCTTTGTTCTATCGCGTCCACCAGTTTATTATATGACGCCCAATGATATCAAAAATCATGTGATCTTGTTTATTTTACTATGATTTTCAAGAACCAAAAGACACTCGATCTGCGAAGCTAAATTCTAGACTGTACGTGTATCGCATCCCTTGTTACTCGTCGATCGATCGCCTATATAGACACACTCTAGTATACAGAGCTATACTGACAGGTTTCTAGGCAGCATGAACTGATGATACCGAGCATGCGCTGCTCATTATTCTTCTGTCTTATCTGTGCCACAACGGAAAACAGCTCTCACCAAAGGGAGGGCAAAGCTCAGCGTTTGCATGCATGGGTTGAGCAGGGTCTGAGATGCTTGGATAGACCACCGGGTGGACTAGGGGCGACAGTAGGGACTGTTAGTTTCCCACTTTTTTCAGGTCGTACAAAGTAGGGATTACCTAGAGATATTCACTATTCACATGGTCATGCTTCCTTCTCTCTTCCCCTTTTTTATTGTCACACAAACAGACACAAGCTAATGATCTCCTGCTCCACCGCGAATACAAATTTCAGGTAGTCCGCAGTATTGGCTATCTTGACAATCCAGCGCAAGTTGCCTATAACTGTTGGGTAAAATACAACAGAACTGTTGCACCAAACGGCTCGTTGATGCGCACACACCCGCTCGGGATAATATGCCTTGCTTCTACGCTTCCCGTGACATTCCAGATTGCGGCAGACTTCTCAGGCATCACCCATGCAGATCCCCGGTGCATCGTAAGCTGTTGTGCCGTGACAGGGCTCATTCGCGGCATTCTGCACGGAGAAGTAGAACGTAGATGAGATTATCGAGGAGGCTTTTGGGTGGGCCGATGAGTGGGTGACAAGTCGAGCTAGAGGCGCGTCTCGATCGGATTGTACTCCGACGGGCTCAAAGGCAGAAGCGACGACGGAGCCGCCAAACCACCACATGCTGCTTGCTGCTTTCGAGAAAGTGATTACGGAGCTTACATACCTTTGAGGCAGGAGATGCTGACACAAACGCATGCGTGGCCGGGGCTCTTCTGGGGTGTTTGTTCGGTTATAATTCCCTGGCGCCACAGTGGCGCGATGGTAAGGTGCATCTCGACTGGATGGTGGGGAAGTGCGAGGCACTAAGCCAAATGGTCGGGGGGGGTGGAGGCTTCCGGTGCGGATATTGGGCAGCGGCCAAGATATCAGGGACATCAAGCCCCAGACACTGCGATTGACGGCGGGAAAGGGCTGCTAATTGCGGAGGAATTAAAGAAGAGGGAGCAGGAATTTATATAAGTTATTGGTATTCTGTACCTGTTGAGAAGTAACGAGCCGGTGGAGCAAGAGGGGTTGGAGGCTGCTGAGAGCGTTGGAATTTTCTCGAAGTTGAATGAGTACCTGAGTAAATAGATTAACTTGTTATGTTATTGGCTATCGTTTTTCTATTGTTCTTTTTCCCGAGATCCCTGTGGCTCTGATTGGGACATTTTCTTGTCCATGATATGCTGTGCATAAATTGGGATTTCCACTCTGTCGCACACCAGAGCACAGCACCAAGTTGAGTTGACAAGTCTGGAATGGAAGTTACAGCACATTCCAACCAAATTCAAGAATCGACAATCTCATCACTTTTTTTGTTTTTTTGTTTTTATTTTTTATATATTTTTTAATCTCCAGATGAGATGGCCCTTGTGTGCCAACGGCACTCTGCAATACGACTGTGTTTTTGCGTCCGTCATTTATTAGCCTTTGCCCCCGAGAACTTAATCTGGCGGATGTGGTGAGATGCTCAACAAATCATGGACAAGAAAGAACCACTGGACCAGCGCTCAAAGAAACTCCCAGGCAGCTTGGCTCGCTTGGCGGTAGAGTGTCGAGCCTGGATGGCCCTTACAATTTTAAAATTCAAAAGAACCATGCAGCCAGTCAACTAACTAAAACGCTCCGGTCTAGCCGTGGGTGCTAACCATTTGGGCATCCGGAGCCTGGCCTAGTGGACTATCCCCAGCGACTATTGGCGGGCCTTCAACCTAAGCTCCTGTTTTAGCTGTTGATCCAGTGAGTTCTGCCCTTGCAGACGGCTCCCAGAGCTTACGCAGTAAGGCGTTTTTGCTTTTTTGGAGATTGACAGGAGTGGACCACCATGGCCCAATTCCCCCCCAAAACCCAGCTTCAGTTCGCTCACCTAAGGTCCCTCCCCCGGAATTGGAATCCAGAGAATTCGTTTCGCTCTGCCTCCTGAAACCTCGAATGAGTTGAAATTCGATACCATTCTGATTTATTTGAATATTTCATCTCCGGGGAACTGAGGCTTTCTTTCGACCAACCAAACGGAGCGACCCGTGCTATATCCTTGCCGGTGTTAATTCCACGTTTTATCACCCCTGAGACCACTTTTCGAGCTCAATTCCAACACCGAACAACGAAACATTCACAAGGGAAAAATGACAAAATCATACCACAAGGAATGATGGCGACAATCGTCGGTCCTGCCCAGTAAAAACCCTGTTAGACAGACAGCCTTCTGGACAGCCAGCACTAGTTTGGTGAGAAGGGGAAGGTGTCGCCGCTACCTCTCGCCCCCTCTATTCCAAGCATTCAGTCGTCTGCTTTCGCCAATTCATCATTCTCCTTCTCCGCAAAGTTAATACATACCTACCACCTTGTCCTGGCGAATCCCATTGAACATTTCTTAACTCTCTTGATACTCCGTTCCTCGGCGACACCATATATCTTAGCACCTTCGATTTTTTCCTTCGCATCAATAGACACCCTCAGAAATAGTCGCATATAGATTTCTCGAACGATTTTTCCCTGGTTTTTCAGCATAAACTCATCTCTCCACTCCCAAGAAACGATAGATGCCTATTGAGGCATAGAGAAATTCGAATCGAACAATCGAAACCCGGAAATTGAAACCCGTTTCACCCCGATGACGCAGCTCTAAAACTACGAACAGAAATAACCAGCAACATTACGACCCCTATCTTCGGAACGAGGAAATAATATATTTTCGCTCTCCCTCAGTAGAGTGTGCATAACACACTACAACTCCCAACCACATCCCCAATGGCTTCAATTAGCCAAGACGTCAAGGTGTTCGATGCAGGATTCGATCCGTATTCCCCTATGGAGCAGCAACTCACGCCTGTTGACGAATGCGACCCCAACAATACCAAAAGCTTATCAGCCTGGACGACGCAGGAAGAAACTCTCCTACCTTCACCGAACCCATGCCATCGCCCACCCAGTAGCCCAGCAGGGAGCGATTTCGACCCTTCGCGAGGAGCAAAGCCATTATCCCCATTCTACATACACCCAACAACCCGCACATCGCTCGAACAAGTGAGAAGTGAGGCGCAGGCGTATTGCCAGGGATACAAGCTGCACGATGCGGAGAATGGGTATCAGGTGCCCATTAAGCCATCGATGGATGGCCAGGGAAGTGATAGAGGGCTCTGGGGCCCCTGCCCAAATAGCAGACGCAAGAAGTCCAAGTGGCTAGGCAGGCTTAGCCGGAAACAGAGGCTCGCCGTCAAGGGCTTGATTGCGTTGTTTATTGCGGGATCTATGGTGGGAATAGGATTAGGTATTTCCATCTCGCTCGGCGGAGGGGTCTGGAAATCAAAGAACCAACAAGGGGAGATTCCGAGGCCGGGATGAAGGCAGGCGGAGGATTGACAAAGGTATGAATATCTAAGTATGCGACCGGACCATTGGCTAGCGATACTACTTCACCTAGAGAGATGTCATTGAATAATGTTAGCTAACAAAGTTGAAAGGGATAGAATAATGTTGCGCTTTTTCTTTTTGGGCTAATTAAGGGCACTTTGGTGCGACCGCATTTCATGATGAATGCGCCACGTGCTTTTCCAACCACACTCGTTCTTGATTCCTGTTTTGCGCTGTCGGCTTAATATTAAATAGACATACCTCGTCATCGTGCTCGATTCCAATGAAGCCGCGGCTGTTAGATACGTCTCCGTAACAAAGAGAATTGGCAGACAAAGATGATCAATGGCACACTGCAACGCGGCTCCAAGGTGTTAATTGGGATATGATATTTGGGACACAGGCGTTATTTTTCCTTCCTCATTCTTTTCCCTCGTTCATTTTCTTATTTGTCTTTCCTTGCTTTTCTTTCCGTTTGTCTTTTTTTCTGCATATATCAAGGGAAAGCGAGCAAGTGACTAAATTCCCTAGAAGGGGGAATTCTTCATATTGTTGTTCCTCATACATGCATCCCCGGCGTCCATGGAAGCGATTCGATGCTCAAAGCACCAGGCAATCTCTCATTATAATACATAAGTGAAAGACAAAGGCCAAAATGAAATCTTAATACTTAATTCACGCCTGAAAACATACAAAAGAAGAGCAAGAAATGAAATCAGAGGTGAATATACAAAGCAGTCGAGCAAAGAGAATAATGAACCGGATCTGTTCGGCACGGCATATCACATGATCTCCGGATAGACATAATTCCGTCTCCGTGCCCCATTGGGCAGTTTAGTCACCTGACCCACAGTTTTTGCTACAAAACCATCCAACTTCCCATCCGAGATGTTGATTTCTTTTCCTTCTCTTTTCTCTCTCCATCAAAAAGTAAACAGAACCAGCCACGACCGTCGTTTTTAGACCAAAAATCGCATCCCACAGCGACGTGTTGCCATGAGACCCCCCTAATAAAAGGGCGGGTTTCAGTGGTTCTGGAGAATGATCTATTGCAGTCCTTGATAGGAAGTTTCTTTCCCGTTGATATTACGGGTCCTCTTAATTGAGGGCGATGGGAAGGGAATGTCGATGACGGGATACATTTTATCTTTCTTTTTTTTTTTTCTCTTTTGAATGACGAGAGGAGAGATTGTGAGCAAGTTTTGGGCATTGGAGTTGGTGTTTGATTCGGCCGCCGCTGGGTTCTTTCGCTTGCTCTGCGAGTTGGGTAGAAAGCGCTCTGTGTGTGTATGGAATTACAACATCACATGGCACTATGGCTATCTTATTAATGGATGAGGTGCGGTTTCTATGCTTGCAGGGCCGTGTATATGCGCTTGTCTCGCGTGAGCTGTGTGATTGATATCTCCCGCCAATTCCACCGCCGCTTCATACTTGCCCCTAGCTTGTTGCCCAAAGAAGTTTTTTTTTTTTTTCGGTCAGCATTATGTATTACTGGAATTATATGCGTTGTTTCCTTTCCTTTCACTTTTTCTTCTTTTCGCGGATATCATATGATGTGATATTTACAAAGATGCGATACGTTGATATATTTGGGGCCATTTTTCCCACGCTTGTTTCCGCCTTTCTCTTTCACTCACCGGAAACCTGATCCTGGGTTGTCTGATAGACTCGTTTGAGGCCGAGAGATTGCACACAAATACTTCCATTCCACAAGAATGGTGGTAGTGCTGGTGCTGGAAATTGTAATTATATATGAGAGGATATGGTATGAGGCGAACACGAACTGTCAATGTTTTTATCTCAGTCCCGCTCGTCCCTCATTGGCGCCCATCTCAATTGTGTTCCGGTTTGTTGGTGCCATTTTCTCTCCATATTCAACCCTATATTTGATCGACATCCTCCGTTCAGCGAGTAGTCCGTACTCCCATCAAAATTGACCTAGTATCCAGAGTGATGGGCGGGCTTGTGGCTAGCAGACGTTGAGCAGGGCCAACAGAGCGGCAGAGGATACGTATTTCTCAATGCCTAGGTCAAGAGAAGTAGAAGTTGCGCACACTTGTGAGGTTCAGAACATCTAGTGCTTTGACATATATTTCCGCCTGGATATTAAGATGACTTGTAGCGTCCCCAGTTCAGCATCTCTGGATCCCGCTTCCCGGGCGTCGCCATCCGATTCCACGCCATTATCAGCCGGCAGTAAAATGAAAGATAGGGATGAGCCTGATAGTTAGATCAAAAGGCAATGCTGAACTGGTATATCCCATTTGCATCCTGAAATAGGCTTCATTTACGTGTTCGTTGCATATAATATGGAGCGGTGAACGAGACAGCACTCAATGCGTTTTAACACGGAATCTGGGGAGGGTACCGGACGACGACGACGACGACGATGATGATGATGATGATGACAGTTATATACTGTGTCAAGCTCAAGCTTGATGACTATGAATCCATTTCCATTATTTGTCTATCTGAAAGCAGACCACGCCGTCATCAAGTAAGTACGGAAGGGTTGCGATAAGCCGACCACAGCCGCTTTACGATGCAGTTGTTCGTTAAATTCGTCTTCAGGATGAATCTCACTAGACATGACCCTCCCAGCTGTAGCAGTCTCAACCTGCCTCGTCGACTCCACTGAGTTCCACGGCCCTGTTGCTATTTGAGAAGTCATAAAAGGTGAGCATTTGGAGCACTCGCAGGTGCCTTACATCTCAATTAAAACGAGAAAAGAGAAACGAGAACACATACTTGCCATCTTGGATTCTGCTGTGCTCTTGTATTTACCACCTCTATGCCTGTGCTGGTGATGATGGACAAGAAGAGGCGTTGTTGATGACGGCGATGGCAATAAAAACAAGAAGCAGCATGTGGTAGTTGGGAGATCTCAAGGGTGAGTGACTAAGGGCTAAGAAGAGACTGTGGACAACTTCGCCAGCGCACGGAATTACTTTCTAGGCATATTTTCACCTTTGCTAATTGCGGTCTAATTGCGGTGCCTAAAGCACAACGAAACAACTTTGTTCACTCCCGCCCGTCCACAGCCTGTCAGTAGAGTGGCGGAGAGCGCAACTGCGCGAATGGAAGAAAATATCTTAACCGCCCCTTGTTAGACAGCGTGGTTGCTAAAGTTTAGCAGAAAGAGATATGCTAAATAACGCCGGGGAATCCATAGCGACTACGACAATTCGCACAAGAGAGCTGCGCTTCGAATTTGCTGAAAATACCAAATTTGGGAGATGAAATGAGGCAATGCCTAATCTCGCTCTGGCTGGTTTGTGATTTGAATATCCTTCGTCGCTCGAAATAGAAACCAAGAAACAGTTCTACCCCCGCCCAAAATGGCGGTTATCACCTGAAGAGCGGACTGATACTGCTGCTCGTCCAATCAACGCAGGTATAAAATTAGGGGGTTGATTCAGGAGCGTTTCCGATAATATGAAACGGATCTACGCAGCGTAGAACCCGTTTCAGATTTCTATTTCGAGCTCTTGAAACCAAGTAAGACGTGCAGAACAATCCTGCACGCAAAAAGGGGTGTTTCGGACTGTGACTGGTTCAAGGGAAACGGGCTTGTTTCATCCTAAATCAGCCCAGAATAGAAACCAACCATTTTAGTTTCTGCGGCTAGACGAGGATCAAGGAAAGCCATGGCCGCCAGCCAAAGACTGTTTCCAGCAGCACAGAGGACAGTTGCCGACCGACTTTCGCAATAACCACCTAACTTACCATGGCATGGCGGTGAAGCCAGACGAGATTGCTTCATTCGAGCATAGAACAAGACTCCCCCGGCCAATACTAAACCCTTCTGGTCGTTTTGTTAGACATGAAACTTCGTTCTGGCCGTCAGAAATGGGATATCGCATGGCCAAGCGGATGGAAAGAACAAATCAAGCATTTGTGGATGGCTCGGCGGATATCTGTACTATGCTATGTTTAATTTCATACAGGACATTATGCATGGCTGTCGCGCAGAAGGGGGAATTGGCCAGTGAAAAGGTCGTCGTAGGATTTCCAGAGGACTGGGGTAGAATATGCATAACAACTGCTGGCGCTGCGGGCTCTTGGAGAGGGAGATGCCAGGTATAAAGATCGGTAAATACTCTCGATATAACTCGTTGACAATAAGTTGCCGAATCACCAGTTACGGCGAGGAGCGCGACAAAAAAACGGACCAGGAGGAACGGCATATCATTACTCTGCACAGGATGTCATTTACGGGGGGGCAAAGGCGACGCAGCCAACAGCAGGCGCCAGAACCCCGAAGTGGGTAGTTGGCGTGCTGTGAACCGCTTGATTTTGGAGCTTGGGATTTGCTGGAAAAGCCTGCAGGGAGTTTTTACCGCTGAGTTGCTGGCCGAGCCGCCCGGGTTGAACAACACAACCTAAGCACGCGCTGGACAGCAAAGCTTCGAGCACGAACCAGGGAGCGAAGCTTGGAGTTGCTGTTTTGCTGCTACTACACCCTGTGGCACAAAAGATTCCCGCTGGATGGTCAATTGGCCGTCATGGGTTTGCCGAGTTGACTTTGATCCCGTTTTTTTTACTTGTTTATTTATTTATCTTTGTTTAACACAGGGCCAGTTTATGCCCCAGGCTGTGCGGGAGGTTAACCATAAGCATACACATAGCAGGCGGTTACAGTGGTGGATCAAGGGCGGTGAAGTCGACCTGTACAGGCTGAGCATGATATAAAAGAAGGTCTCCAGCCCAGAGAGAGAGCCTGGGAAGTTCATTCAGATGTTTGATCGCCATTGCATCCGGTGGCCGAAATTTCTTACTTACTTTACCCCCCGTTTCAGTGCCTCGAGCCTCTGTGACTTCGTTCCATTGTCAAGGGCAGTTGTCGACATCCCGGGACACCCACCACCCACCCTATTGTCGCCTGCAATTGGTACGTCTGAACGAACATGGGGCTCAAAATCCTAGCCTATCGTGAAAGCAGAAGTGTGAATATTATTGGGGGCTAATAATTGCTGTCTAGTGCCCTAACTCTCTTCCCCAAGCCCACGTCAACCTGCTGCAGCTGGGACTCCTGGGAGCAACAAGCCGTCACCACCACCGCAATCGCCCCAACTGCATGACCGAAAGTGTGATCACGGTTGTGTGGTCAATTGCAGGCGCCTCCATCCAATCACTGCGCCGCATTCCCAGTCCGCCGCCGCTGGGCCTTGGCTGTGCTAGGGCTTGCGCTACCCCGTGGTTAGGCTCTTTGCATGCTAGTTGCTGCTAAACTTGGCCCTTGGAGTGTGCTGCTGAAACCGCCGAGCTGCTACTGGTCAGATTTACGCGCCGACCCCCAGCTGGCACCAGACAAGCGTCATATCATCCTCACGCCTGGTTCCCTCCCTCCACCCTCCAAACCCAGAAGAAGAGCAACACACAAGGGTTGAAGTACCCTGTTCGGCTTCCAGGGAAAGTTATTTGCTTTTCCAATTCCTAAATTCGTCCCATACAGCGTGTTTTATGTGTGTTTTCCTCCTCTCAGTCGTTCTCCAGCATTCTTGTATTAAAGCTCGCTACCGCCCGCACTTGTTACTTGCTTTCTTTCTTCGGTCTCGCTCCCCAAGGCTTCTTGACCTCCCAACCCTCTGGTGTGGCCATTGATTTGTACTTTCTTCGTGCCCGAGACATTCACTTGTTGTATCGGCCGTCTACTTTTTTTTTTATTACGGACAGTTAGTTACAATCATTGCCGTTCACCATGCCTCCCTCTTCGAAGCCCGTCCTGCCTCCCATCTCTACATCAAAGTCTCCAACCTTCCCCTCTGAACTTCATCAGAGCCCCGTGCAACTCATGGGAAAGCTGGAGTGTCTCAAACAAGAGGATGCTCTGCAGAAAACACCTATCACACCCCCTGTGGCCTATGCAGACTTCCTCAAGTCAGTCACTCCTGTCTTGACAAGTCCGATGAGAACTGGCTCTTCTATACTATCTGAACGGAGCTCAGGACACTCGTCCCCAACCACTCAACCTTCAACTGCTAGCAGCACGTTCTTCTGTTCCTGCGACAGCCACAAGCCTCACAAGTCACCAGCTGTCTCCATACCACCGCCATCTCCATTTGCTCACCCAAGATCCGCCAGGACTCCCAAATCCTTGCGCGCACTAAGAATACCGCCATCCCCAAGTATGCGCTCACCCTTGAGCGCTTCGTCTCCCAAAAGCGCTTCTTGCACATCAGCACGGTCGCAATTTTCCCCATCAGACTGGTGCGTCTCGCCAGGCGCTCGGTATTTCGAACCTCCTCGAAGCGCATCTGGACGGTCTGTTTGCGTTCGACATGTTGTCACCCGCACAGTAACCTACAAGCGCACCCCACTGGATCCAGCGCCCAAAGGCAAACGAAGGAAGACCAATGAATGAACGACTGGAAAAGAGCCCAAGCTTTTCTCAGTCTATTCATACCTATATTCCTCCCTCATTCGACATCACTCCAACCTTCCACCATCCATTGTCTCTACCGACATGGCACCTACTAATCGCATCCTATTACCTCTCCGTCATATCTAGGCCCATTCAATGCCTTGAGGGGGGCTTTGCTTGGCTATACCAGCGACGATACCCTCTTACGGCTTTAGTGTATTAATGCACACTGCACTGCGGCTGCAAAGGAGTGGCTCGCCCATACCGCAAAGTGACATGAGCTATCCCCGCGACGGGCACGTTCCTCATCATCACTCCCACTCTGGAGGAACTTGTTCCAGTACGACGAACAATCGTACCTTCCCGCCAGCTTACTAAATTCCAGCATTTATCTATGTGCTGAACCGACCATCCATCCTTCTTTTCTCCCACTTTTCTTTGATGTCTTCTACCCTCCAGCTTGGAGTTTTATGGATATATATACATATATGTGGCCCGGTGTTCCGGTTTGGCGCGTGCGTGGAATATGTTACGATTGGTTCTGTTCATTATGATACGGGGGTTTTGGTTTGGTCCCCCAGGGTTGGTTGGTTGGTTTGCTCCCATTTTACATATAACATTCCAAAGATCCAGCCAGGATGTTGAGGGAACGGGCTGTATCTGTATGGTTATTTGTTTTCCCCCTCTGCCCCGACGCCCTATTTTTTGTGTTTCCGACGTCCTACACTACCCACTACGGTATTTCCTTTGTATTTGGCGCTCTTCTTTTATTTATACGGTTATAACATACTACCTACATGTACCTGTCATGATCAGTCCAGGGATATCTATACTTTTGCATATTACGTACATATACCTATTTTATTTTTCATCTTTTATATTTCGTTTTTGTTCCGCGTCTGTTTATCAGTTAACCGTATATATACACATACATAGCTCATGCTTTCAGCACGCGCGAACGGGTCGGTGCTGCCGCCTGCCTGAATATATCCGACAATCTATCTTTAGCTCTTCAACAGTCAATCTATGTGAGCTTCAGCGTCCCTAGTAGTTAACGTAGTAATTGCGAGCGTACAAGCATCACCAAACGGATCATAGAACTTTCTCCTCACATACAATTAGCCGGGCAATCCCCTTCCGTCACATGGTTAACTAACTACCTCTATCCCGTCCTCAACATACTTTCTTTCTTGTCGGCCTTCATCCTTCCCTCATCCGCCTTCTGTCCCGAAACGCCCTCCCGACTCACAAGCCACAAGCCCAGATCTAAACCAACAACCAAGATCCGAGTGACGGCACTAACTATTTAGTGGTCGCTTAAAAACCAGGCCCTGTGCGAAAACATTAATCCCCCCGCCTCCCCCCCTCCCATTGGCTGCCTGCACAACAGTCAGTCGTGACCCAAAAAAGCAACGCGATCAACCCCGCCAAGAGACTACCCGCCAGTCATCCGCCTTGATTTTTTTGGCAGATGTTGGTTTTTGAGGGGGGGCATGACGAATGAGAATGGGCTTGTCGCTGCAGACCAGACTCGAGGATCTGCATGGCTGAGTGGCTGGGTTTTTGGCTCCTGCCGGGGGAGGGGGGAGACGCTCCTTGAGAATTGCAGATTTGCGATTGGTTTTATCCAGCATGTCGAATCACAGGGTGCCGTGCAGGAACAGGACGGATCGACACTCAGGGAGCATGGGGATTGGAGGTCCCGGGATTTCTTGCAGGATTTTTTAAGAGAGTGGGAGAGTGGCAGTGAGGGGAGGGGAGGGAGGGGTAGGTACAGTAGGACCAAAATATGTCCATGAGAGCGCTTAAAATAGCAAATTCCAGATGGCTTTACACAGCCAATCGGTTAAGCAGGACGGTGTCCACTGGCCAGCTGCTCTCCGTTTATTTTTGATTGGGTGGAAAGGGTCCTCTATGGCCTTGAAGATGTCTGGGGTTTAAACACTCTAGCCGTGGTAATCGTTATTATGTCCTCCGTGGTAAACAATATTTTCGGCGTGAGCGGGGGACGACTGGGCCTTATTTGTTAGACATTCATTCTGAAGCTTTGCAGTATTTTCTGCTGAGAGCCTGAATGGCAAGGTAGAAATAAAGGGAGGTAAAAAGCACCTAGTCCCACAAGCACAGAAGGCAACCCCAGCGTCGTCTTATTCAGTGCCAGCATCAAACGGTGGCCGGGAATGATGTGTACAGCAAGTAGCCCAGCTGTTGCTCATTGTATGTACAGTACGTAAATACGGTACATTATATTAGTTAGGCCTAAGTGTTGAGCATTGACTAAACAGATGGAACAAAGCACATTATATGGCTGATGAATGTGTTTGTCAGCGGCATCTTCGAGGTTATCGTAAGGGGTGACGGCGTATATATAAAGCGCGAGAAATTCTTGATACCTTGGTTATATTAGCTTTACCCATAAGGTTATTGTGTGCTTGTGTTCGGAGCCTTCAATCAATCAGAGCATTAGCATGGGTTGCGGAACAACTTGGTAGATACTCGGAGTATCTTGGCTCATCAGGAATATTTCAAATTTCCACTGGCAATTCCTGACTTAGCATACATATCAGTCAGCGTAGTAATAGAAATATAATATAAGCCCCATTTTATTAAAAACCCCAATGTTAGAATAAATTTCTCCGCAAAATTTCCGGGCTTATCAGCTTACATTCGTGCGCATTCTTCGTTCACATCCGCATGCTCGTATTTTGGGTTGCATATATTGTCTCTATCTGCGAGAAAAACAAGAATTCAAGATGTGAATAAGCGTATTTCCATATTCCTCTGTAGCTTGCCTCCGTGCAAAACTCGGTCCACTGTAGTTTTGTGCGCCGTGAGAACAGAACATTACCATTCCAAACATGTCATCCATCGTATCATTTAGAACGACGAGACTTTTCAGATAGCGTTATCCGACTAAGCCAATTTCCCCCGCTCAGCGCCAGAGAACCCAGAAAGAGTTGCAGTACAGTCATGGCTGTTTCGCGAACTTCATAACAATTATGTTAACATTGGAGGAGGGTATGATAAATCAACACCGAGGTCTGTTGGAATTTTGGGAAGCCAAATTTTGGGTGATGATGCTGTGAGATCCAATGGCATTATTGGTTGAAACGGAGACCGAAACATGCAGGCTTCCAGAAGCGCCGATGGAAGTTGTTTCAGACAACAATAGCAAGGAAAACAGGCTCATTGTCACTAACGATTTAGACGATTTAGCGGCCGCGGGGAGAAGAACGCCAGTCGCCTAGCCTTGAGTCTTGCAAGTCATCCCATCCAGTTATTCCCTCGCTGTCGCTGTCCTGGGCGTTGTTTTGGGGGCTGTGAAGGTTTTGTCCCGTGATTTCGCCGTCCCTCTTCTTTGCTCTGGCTTTGGCAACCAAAAAAACCAGTCCGCTGCGAGGAACATTTGCCCAAAGACATTTGAGGTTTCGCGTGTGCCGTTTTCTAGCTAGTTAGTAGTGCCTTGATTACTTTGCCTGTGTTCCATTGTCTGTCCTTAATCTCCTGCCCTTGCCTGCCCTTTCCTTTTGGTTTCGTAACCTGATCGAGGTTGGAGGGGTGTGAATTATGGCTCAGCAATTCACTCCGCACAGCGATTCTGCAGCGCTGGAGACTCCGCGCGTCCCGACTCGATTGCTCTCGATAACTGCGCTGGCACGGTTTGAGTTTGAGGCAGGCAAAGGGAATGAGGGTACGAAGATTTTGATGGTGGAATGGGAGGATGATGACCTCACACGGTCTGCCGGCACATGGCATGTTTCTTGGGATGGGAAGCAAACGGTTTTCCCTGCAGATGAACAGACATCGGATCATGTCCGACGATGCTATTTTTTACTCCCTCCCGGCACCACTATTCCTCCTGTCGTTACTCTAGCCTACGAGCCACCGCCAAGTTCTGCTGCAACGGTTAAAAAACCCGATTCCGTGGAGGTGAATCCGCTACCTGCCATCTTCCCGCCTGAGCTAGGGGCTACTGCTAGAGCTGCTGGCAAGAAAGGAGTGTTGCACACAATATGGGCCAAGAAGAGACTGCAGGCTCTGGAGAAGGAGATCAAAGAAGAATCAAGATACAATCTTGAGGGCGTGGCCTTGGAGATGGCCCTTCAAGAGAAAGAGTGGATAGAAACAAACTTTGGCGTTGGCCAACGTCTAGCACCCCTCCAAACGACAAACGTGACGTCCTTGAATTCTGTCCCTCTTAGTCCTACTACGCCCCTATCTCCCGGCGGCGGGAGGAAGCTTAGTGAAAAATTGAAGGGCCTAAAATTGGGGACGAGTGAGAAGGATCTCACCCGGAAGCCTCCACTAGGTAAACGCTAGCTACTTGTTCGGCATACTCCTACTCTTGACCTGACCCTGACGTACTGACTCCTTACAATTTTAATTTTTTAGCAAACCAAGCTGAAGATTTAGAGTCCCATCCCCTTTCTCCAGAAGGGCCAGATGTGGCAATATCCTCGTTCAATTCGTTCCGTCATACACCCATTTCAGATCCGGCGAAATCTCCCGTTCGTCATGCTGTAGCCCACCTCCCGCCCGCTTCAATACAAGCACAACAGCAGCGGCAACTATCAGAAGGGGGATTTGCCAGTCTGGCCACCACGACAAGTGATCAAAACACGGATGACGGGTTATTCGCGAAAGCGCTTAGTCCGCGTTCTCCAGATATCCCTCGAAGCCCATTCTCATTCTCCCCCGAAGAAACTATACCCTACGCGAAAAAGAAATTAAACGAATCATGAAAATTTAAAGTAAACGATTTGTTCGGATCCTTTAAAAAAAAAAAAAAAAGTGAATCTCACCGTACCTCCATGTACTTTCCATCCGCACTTCTAAACCCGAAATGGAACAAGGGAGAAGTAAACTGATTTAACCGTTATTTTGGGTTAGAAAACATTGGCAAACGCACACATGCACGAAGCCCTCCTTGTTACTGCTCGCTCGCATTGTCAGCCTAGCTGCTTCCTGACTACATAGACGATGATGCTTTTATGCCTGAC